ATCCTTTGGGGTTTCCTCAGTACCTTCAGGCTCTAAGGCACCTCCTAAACAGGGCCCGGTACCTCCTAGTTGGGACCCTGGGTTCTCAGTCTTCTTTCAGTTTGAGGGCGCATGAGCCTTAGGGGAATGTCACAGGACTGAAGGGCTTATGGGGCATAGAAGCTGTGGCATTCAGGGTTGGGCCCAGAGAACCCAATACCCCTTAATGGAGGAATATGCCTTAAATCAAAATATTAGGGACCCTATAATTTAAGGTATATTCCTTAATTAAGCGGCATTGGGCTCTCTGGGGGCTTCAGCTCTTGAGCCTTCTTGTTACGTTATTGAAGCACAGATGCCTTACATGCGTATGTGGACTTCGACAGCAGGAAGCGTCCGACAGATGATTTTAGGTAAGGATGTTTCGTTACGACGCATAAGGGCCTATCATACCCAGAGGGTCATACCCGATCCCTTGTTAAGGGTATCTGCGGATATATAGCGCCGATCCTAATCATGCAGCTCGGTACCCTTTAAACAAGAGGTCGGGTATGACTAGGTATGCAATCAGAACCAGCAAAATTCTGTGTCAGGTTTCCGAAGGACATGATGACATTCCTTTAGCGTTCATTTGGGGCTTACCTTAAGCCCAAATAACCTACCATTTTAAGGACGTATATAGGGAAATCATAATAGGGAGCCCGAAAAAGGAAGGATTTATAGGGTCCAGGTAGGGTTCAGGAGTTACTTGGGACTGCAAGGGTGCAGTTTTGATCCTTCGCCTTGCTCTGTTCGTGCAGGCCTGGAATTAGGATTCAGGTTCCCTCGAAAGAATCACTACGGTTGATGATAGAAATCCTGCATTACCTTTCCGGACCCTAAACTATGGGAATTATGGTATATACCTTATTATGGGTAGTGCAGGATTTATAGTAGTAGAGTCTCATGCTTCTCAAGCCCGGCGCAGCCAAGAAATGAAAAGTCGACAACAAGTTCACGGGGCTGGGATGGGGTCCGAATGGCAATCGCACTCCGTTTAGGGCCCGCAGTGCTCCTAGCCAATACTATTTGGGAGCTCCGCATTATAGTAAGTATAGTATAACATACCCAAAATCCCCATTCCGCATGTAGAAAGGTGGGCTTTGCGGCCCAAATTCCATACTCATTTTACATACCGCGAGTCTTCGCAATAGAACCATCCTAGAGCCCAAACAGAGCCCCAAAAGGAATTCTCAAACTCGCATAGATCTCTTGTATGATTGTCGTGGCAGTCCAACTGCAGCGACACCCCTAAACCCTAAGCCCCTATAGACCCTAAACCCCTAAACCCTTAAACCCTATACACCCTAGACCCTAAACCCGAAGCCGTACACCCTAAACCCTAAACCCTAAACCGGAGGTTCGCGGAGGAGACGCAGACACCAGCAAAACCGGAGAAGGCTGGTGGGTGCGCAAACGCCTCAGGTCTTGGGACCGTGGGTTTAGGGTTTAGGGGTTCGGGGTTTAATTAGGGTTTAGGGTTTAGGGGTTTAGGGTTTGGGGTTTAGGGGTTTAGGGTTTAGGGTTTGGGTTTAGGGTGTACGTGTGCGCTTATCCAAAGGGTCCCAGGCACTGTTATGGGGGATGCTTCCCCAAAACAGAATAGTAATTCCAAACATAGTAACCCTATACATTCTACCATATAGGTACTTAGGACCCTTTGGCTTAGGCACTCAGAGGTCTGATCAGATCCTATGCGTTCGGACCAAACTGACATGACCTTTCTGTCCCTTAGATAGCTGACTAACTTTACCCGGAAGAGAATGGCTCGGGCAGATGGGTAATATTCTAAATTAGGGTCCCGTTTAGGGTCCTTCTTGTAAGGGTGCCGTACTATATTGGGGAGCTGAAGAGGGATCCTTAGCTAGAGAACTACCCATATAGTTTTCCAGCATCTTTGAGATCAATATTAAAGTTTAAGTTATTGAAGTAAGAGTTCACAGTTGAAAGTGTTCGGTATCAGGTTTCAAGTGTATTGTGCTCCAGGATTTGGCATTTTGGGGTCTGGGGCTGTAGCCATTGACAGGAGTGGTTGTCTGGCTGTCTTCAGCTTTTATTTGTACGCACGATTCGTCACATTGACAGTTGCAGCGTACAGCGTGTCATGCCCGAATTACGGCTTCATATCCTATACCCTCCACGAAAGAGGCTCTAAAGCCTGTCGCCTGTCTTCTCCGACCACACCATGTACCGAACTTGTTCTCAGTGTCTGTCTTGCATCATCCTTCATCCATCTCAATTTCAACAGGCTGTCCAAGAATCAGCGTTGTGCAAGACAAAGGCTCAAGCACGCAAACTGAGTTCATGCCAGTCCTAGCTGTTGTAAGCCACATATCTGTCAGCCAGTGCCGGCCGTTTTTGCCAACAAGTCAGAATGCACTGGACTCGTCGCCTCATGAACTGTGGACCTGGTCGTTTGCTGCTTCTTGCCGTTCTGCGGAATGTGTGGGAAGCATCACCACCGGCATTTAGCAGCCAATCTGGTGCACCTCGCAGATTCCAGCAAGATCCTTTCATGACCAGGGAAAACACGGAGCTTTACGTGAGCGAACGTGTGGGCACTGAATTCTGCCATGCAATCACTAAAAATGACAAAAATTGGTGACTGCGCTGAATCCCGCCGGCAAGAGAGGCCAGCAGGGGTGGGCTAAAATCCAGCACTTGTGCGAGCACTACAGCGGCTTTGCTGCTCCGGTTTATGGGGCAGCATTACAGGCCGCATACCGTTGCAAGGAGTATTCAAGGGCAGCAGAGATGTACAACAAAATCCGAAGCAATGACGCTGTGACGATTGGTCGAGTCATTCTGCTGTACGGCATGAAGATCTTCGGGAAGTTGCAGGACAGCCATGCGGTCGATTCAATCTGGCAGGAGGTTCGTGCAAACGGATGGGTCAATCAGTTTCTGGCCGCAGCTCGGATTGATGCAGCCAGCGAGATGGGTGACATAGAAGGGGCTGCATCTATTTTGGAGTTTATCTCATCTGCGATCAATGCATGCAAAAACTCGAACCGCGCCAACCGCCACAAGGCAGCAATGTTCTTGCTGGAGCACATGCTCAGCAGAGGCTTGCAGCCGAACATTGTCACTTTCGCGAGCCTGGCCGGGGCTCACCGAGATGCTCCGCTGCATGAGCTTGAAGGCATCCTGTCCAGCATGACAAACAACGGTGTCATTCCCAACAAGGTGTTCATAGAAGCATTCTTGGGTGCTTTGTTTCAGGGTCGTCTCACCGCGGCCTGGACCGTGGATTACGTCCGTATGCGCCTTAAAGGCGTTGGCTGGATGGTTGGCAACTTGAGCATGCCGAAGATGCCCTGGCGGCCTGTCCAAGTTGTTCACTTCAGGCACCTGCGAGCCAGTGCTTTCGGCTTCATCTAGTCTATATACCTTATAGAAGCCTCATGGAAGCCCCGCTCCCGGCTCCATGCGCAATGTGCATGGGCTCTGTGGGCTGGCCCTAAGCCCTAATCCTTAAACCCTAAATCCTAAACGGCCCTAAACCCTAAACCTTAACCCCTAAACCCCAGCCGGGCCTAAACCTTAAACCCTAAACCCAAAATCCTAAACCCTAAACCCTAAATCCCAAACCCTAAAACTCTACAACCCTAAACTAAGCACTAAACCCTCGAGCCTCTCGACCCTGCGCCCCGAGACCCCTAAAGGCTCACCGGAAGGCCCAGGCCGTTCACGGAAAGTTTTTTGGGGTTTAGGGGTGTAGGGGTTTAGGGGTTCAGGGGTGTAGGGGTTTTAGGCGATTAGGGTTTAGGGCCGTTCCCCACAGCCGATGCCAGAAAAGCTGCATGGCAACGTAAAGCCTTAGAACTTAGAACCAAACGCTCCTGGCTTGAAGGATCCGGGGGGTGTACGCAGGTGTTTAACATAGCTTTGGCTGCCGATTAGGCGGTGTCTAGGAGTTTTAGGGTTGTTGTTTGGGGGATCAGTAGTGCTGTTGCATACAGCTTCTACATGAGGTTGTGTGGCGTCTATTTGGGACTTCGTGGAAGCAGCGGTATACCTTGATTAGGGGCCCGTATAACGAAGGATCCTACTACTTGGGGTTATATGGGCAGGGGCCTGAACCTTGAGGACTCCCCTAATGAAGCCCTAAGCCCCTAAAGAGCCCTGAATCCCCTCTGCGGTATTGCTTGTACAGTTAGAGCCATATCGCTAACAGCCGCTCGCTTTTCANNTGCAAAGTTCGATTATGCTAAGGCTTCCAACCAGCCCATTGGGGCGTGTCTCACGCCCCAATGGGCTGGTTGAAAGCCTTAGCAGGTGAGCCTTTAGGGGTCTCGGGGCCCAGGGTCGAGAGGCTCTAGGGTTTAGGGCTTAGTTTAGGGTTGTAGAGTTTTAGGGTTTGGGATTTAGGGTTTAGGGTTTAGGATTTTGGATAGGGTTTAGGGTTTAAGGTTTAGGCCCGGCTGGGGTTTAGGGGTTAAGGTTTAGGGTTTCGGGCCGTTTAGGATTCAGGGTTTAAGGATTAGGGTTTAGGGCCAGCCCACAGAGCCCATGCACATTGCGCGTGGAGCCGGGAGCAACTCAGATGTTCAGCTGCTGTAGGTACTGCTCAGTCAAGGAGCTGAGCTGTGTCAGCCGGACACCTCGAGACTCTGCATCTTTCAGAACTGACTTTACCACCCTCAGCCTGTCCCTGCTCGTCCCCTTACGCCGAATACGGACATCATCCACCGTCCAGGCTGCCGTGAGACGAGCCGGAAACAAAGCACCCAGGAATGTTTCTATGAACACCTTGTTGGGAATGACGCCCTTGTCTGCCATACTGGACAGGATGCCTTCAAGCTCATCCGGCAGAGCCTGTCGGTGAGCTCCTGCTACGTTGGCGAAAGTGACAACGCTCGGTTGCAAGCCTTTGCTGAGAATGTCCTCCAACAAACACAGACCGTGCCAGTTTGTGACATCCATTACTCCTCCACCGAGCAATCCACCCCTCACATGGCAGCCATGTAACACATGGCTGCCTTGTGGCGATTGGAATGGATGGCGGAGGAGTAATGGATGTCACAAACTGGCACGGTCTCATTTACCATAAATTCTACAACAGATGCAGCTCCTTCGATATCACCCATCTCGCTGGCTGCATCAATCCGAGCTGTGGCAAGAAACTTGTTGACCCATCCAGTAGCACGAACCTCCTACCAGATTGAATCGACTGCAGTGCTGTCCTGCAACTTGCCGAAGTGCCGTGAAGCAGAATGACTCGATCGACTGTCAAAGCACTGGAGCTTCGGATCTCGGCGTACATCTCTACTGCCTCTGAATACTGCTTGCAACGGTATGCTGCTTGTAATGCAGCAGAGTTCGACACTGCATTATAGTGACGTCGGTTGATGAAGATGGTACTGACAACGATCGCGATGAGCAGGAGGATGAACCAGAAGGATAGATGCAGAATAACATGCCGTTTATGATGCCAGGCATTCTGTGCTTCTACTTCTAGTCCATGTGACACCCCCCCTAAACCCTAAACCCTAAAGACACCCTTAGCCAAAGCAGAAAGGAAGCAATTCTTCGTAGTCTTTGCCACCACAAGAAGCAGCAGAGTTACGAGGATAATGCGATGACATCCGTGATTTCGGAGTTAACAGGGGTTAGGGGTTTAGGGTTTAGAGGTTCAGGGTTTATAGGTTTAGGGGTTTAGGGGTTTAGGGTTTAGGGGTTTAGGGTTTTGGGTTTAGGGTTTCAGTGTGACTTGAAGCTAAATGGCTACCCGCGCAAGAACCATCATCGTTCTTCATGTCAAGAAATGGCAATGTCGCATTGCTGCGTCTTCAGCGCAAGCGGCACAAGCCCAATGAAATCGAATGAAAGCTTTCAAGAGCACCGGCATTCACGAAACCTCACGAAATCCAACTCTAAACCCTAAAGCCTACAACCTGCAAAAGTCTTAAACACCGTAAACCCTAAACCCTATACCCTAAACCCTAAACAAACACCCCTGACTTCACGGGGCCTTGTCCTTGGCGGGGATGTACCAGGCAGCCAGCTGGCAGCCATCCATCGCCGGAAAGCGTACCTTGGCTTCGCGTTTACGGCTCAGGGTCTGTGGTTAAGGCGTAGGAAAGTGCAAGGTTTAGGGTTTGGGGCCTAGGGTTTTAGGTTTGGGTTTAGGGTTTAGGGTTTGGGTTTGTAGTGTTTGTACGGTTTACATAGGGTCTAGGGTTTGGGTTATTTTCAACGTGTGCGCTGAAGCAGGGTTTGGGGTTTAGGATTTAGGGTGTTGAAGGTTTAGGAAAGTGTGGGCTTAGGGTTCGGCCATCCTTCGCCAAGTACAAGGTCTGCGGCCTAGAATGGTACAAGGGTTTAGAATGTAGGACTGGGTCCTGCAGTATGCGGCTATGTCAACCTTCTATGCAGCCTCAACAAAATTCAGGGATCTCCCGGCGGTTTGTCCGCTTTCGGCAAAGGATCCCTATTTTTTGGCTTCATCTTCCCGAAAATGCGCATACTCAGCGATGGTGCCAGCATGTGATGAGCAGAAGATCAGCCTCACAGTCGAGTGATGGGAGTTCGGTACAGACCATGGGCCTTAGAACAGGAAATGCCCATAACAACGTCTACTGTCGGGGCCTTGACATTAAAATACGAAGAACGGAGTTGCGGGGGTAGAATATACTGTACTTCTGTTCGGAAATATGATGGATATCATTATCAGATTACTCCGTAACCTAAACTAGGTCTAGCTATGATTTGGCCGCTATGGTTCCTTCGGTTCCGACGTGTGGATCCCTCTTTCCCGCTGCTCAAGCTTATGCGAAGGCCTCACAAACATGATCTTGTCTGACGCGAACACCACAGGTCTGAGCCATTCCTGGAGCTGCTCCAAACCTAGGGCATTCAGTTAAAGGAAACTACAGGTGGGGAGTTTAGGGTATATAGGGCTCCTATAAGGCTTCTATAAGGTATATAGATAGACCTTCTATAAGGCTCCTATAAAGGTAACTACCCACCTGAAAATGTCCTAGATTCAGGTGTCATCGCAATACGGACCTAGAGGATCTATACTGGGGTCCCTTCTTTCCTCAAACTGCCCGGTCGAAAACGTGTTGGAAGCCTAAACCCCTACATCCCAGATCCCGGACCATAAATCCTAGATTCCTAGGTGCTTCCCATTTTCAGCCCCGAACCATCCTAGTTTCCAGCAAGTAATATAGGGGCCTCAACAGTTGCATTAGGCTTTTGGGCTCGAAAACACTATAAGTATAATCAGGAACCCTAAGGGTTGATGTTGGTAATGATTTAGGGTTTAGGGTTTAGGGTTTAGATTTAGGCTTTTACACTACCCGGAAGACACGCAGATTCGCGGGGGCTCTTCATTTTGCGGGCGGGACGTGTGCCCCAAAGAGTCTTCAGCCTGCCGAGAGCAAGCGTGCAATCTCCGCGTAGCCGTTCCTGAGTTGCGGAAGAAAAAACCACGTAAAATTCAGTTCTCAAGGCTCTTAATTCTGAGCCCGAAAAAATTAAAAAAACAGTAAACCCTAAACCCCTAAACCGTCTAGGATGATTCGGCAACTAAGGCTCTCCTCTGCGTACGCCAGAGCCGTCTTCCCCTGTGGATCTTTCAGGTCCCTGTCTGCACCTGCCTTCAGCAACAAGCGAACAACCTCGAGGTGGCCGTTCCTAGGTTCCCCGGCAGCCTCTTCATAGGTTGAGGGCTGGGGGCTTAAAGGGGCTACTATTTTGGAGGCCCAGGGGACTTAGTAAGTCGGTTCTAAGTTATAAACAGAGTTCTAAGCACCCTAAATGGAGTTGCCCTAATTATTACCCTACGTATAACCGACTTACTAATTCCCTGTATCTCCAGGTAGGATTCAAGAAGGGAGCCCCAGAAAGAAAAAGAGCAAAAGGGTACTAGTGGAGAGAACCTAGGTGCCGAGATGCACACATGAGAGCCGTGTGACCACAGTGGTCCCTGAGGTTTTTGTCGGCGCCGGCTGCCAGGAGAAGGCCCACCACCTCTTCCTGTCCACTGTCAGATGCACGAAAGAGAGCTGTGTAGCCGCCCTGGTCTTTAAGGCCTCTACCAGCTGATTGCAGAAGCAAGCGGACCACCTCCACGCAGCCGTTCTCAGATGCGCAGACCAGCGCCGTGTTGTCAAACATCTCTGTTTGATCGTTCTCAGCACGGGCCTCCAGCAGAAGGCGCACCACCCCAAGGTGGCCGGTATAGGACGCAAGATTCAAGGCTGTGTGGCCGCCGTCATCCCTCCAATTCCTGGCAGCGCCAGCCTCCAGCAGCAGCTTCACGAAGTCAAGATGCCCCGCCCGCGAGGCGGCAATAAGAGCCGTCTTCCCCCAGCCGTCGATGGAATCTTTGTCCACACCCGCTTGCAAGAGGCGCCTGGCACACTCGACCTCGCCCTTCTCAGCGGTATCAAGAAGCTCCCAGGCAGAGTCCCCTGGGGCGAGGGATAGCAAGACCAGCTGCAGATCCATGGGTGCATGCAGCTCTGCCGCATCACTCAATTTGCTGCCTTCATGCAGGAGCTCCATCAGAGAGACAGGGAAGCCATGCTCCACTCGCAGGCGATGCTTCAAGGCACGTACGTTGCTCAGGGCAGCCTCGGGTATGGCAGCCAACTCCTCCCCGGAAACCTTCCAGACTCGGAGCATCGACCCGAAACCTTTGGTTTAGAGGTTTAGGGGTTTTGGGTTTTTTGGGTTTTGGGGGGTTTTTGGGTTTAGGGGCTCTTGGGTTTAGGGGGTTTTGGGTTTAGCATTTTTTTGGTTTAGGGGCTTCTGGGTTTAGCAAAGGGGTTTGGGGGTTTAGGGTTTCGAAACCCTGAAAGTCACAGTCTAGACCCCTGCAGGGCCAGAAACCTCGGTCAGCTTGGGGTTGGCGGGTCAGGATCAAGCAAGGGTTAGAGATCATAGGGCTTAGGGTTTAGGCTTTAGAGTCTAGGGTTTAGGAGTTTAGGGTCTGGGGTTTAGGGATTACGGGTTAGGGTTGAGGGATTAATTAGGGCTTAGGGTTTCGGGATTAGGGTTTAGGGCTTGGGGTTTAGGGTCTAGGGGCAGGCATTATATGTAGGGCTCCCGGGTCTGCATTTGTCGGGGAGGGAAGATGGCCGGTTCCACGCAGTTCCAGGCTAACTTAGTTGCATCTCTGTGCACCCGAAATTTTCCCGAAACCTTGAAGCCTAAACCCTGACTAAGTTGCATCTCCGCATTTTCCAAAAGCCAAACCCTGAACCCTAAACCCTGACTAAGTTGTATCTCTGCGTCACGACAATGGGGATTAGAGTAGTGTAGTCATTCAGACCCCAAGACTAGATTCAGCTTGCTATCGTGCGTCCGATACAACCGAAGCTCTCTCCACCACAGCCCACAAAAGCCCTTTAGAGGTTCAAAGGTAGCAGGAAACCTAATGTATAAAAACCGCTAGGGCTCTAGCCCCCGAAACTCTGTGCCCTACCTCTAGGTCTCCATGGTAATTCCTTTTTGGGAGTTCCGTCTAGAGCCCTAAATATGATAACAGGACCTGCAATGGAGACTACAATTAGGACCTGCACCTCAGAATCCGTCTCCTCGCTTGAGCCTGTGAAAGCGGCGGCATGCGACAAAGTCCCCGGTATGGCGAGGGGGGGGGGTGGGGGTTGGTAGCCTAGACGAAATCATAACCCTAAACCCTAAACCCCAAACCGCTTAAACCCAAGCTTGGTGGCTTGTTCATGCCGAGCATGTGGGCGAGCTTCTGGACGAAGCTGGGCTCAGCATCCTCATCCTCCTGCTGGATATAAGGGGTTCCATGAGGGCTCCTTATAACGGGGTCCTTCCATAAACCCTAAACGCTAAATCCTAAGGTTAGGGTAAGCAGCCTAGACCCCCCAACTACCCTCTAAGTCTATTATCCCCCAAATACCCCACTAATGAGAATCATAAGGGCTCTATTAAAGGGCCATCAAACGGTCCTGGAGGGCTTCGGGCTTAGTACCAGTGTTCGGCTCCTCGAAAGTATTTTGACAGCCTCTGTTTGGATCAATTAGGGGATTACTTGGAGGCCCAGGGGACTAGCGAGTCGGTTATAAGGAGGGTTACAATTGGGATATCTCCACTTAGGGTACTTATAACTCTACTTAAAGCCTACTTGCTGAGTCCCCTGGGCCTCTAAGTAGCTCCTTGGGTTGAAACTCGGATGAAGAAGGCCGGCTCTAGGGCTTTCGGCGTCAGCTCTTGCTGGAGCTCGGGGTTAGCCGCTTAGGGTTTAGGGTTTTAGGGTTTTAGGGTTTAGGGTTTAGGGGTTTAGGGTTTAGGGGTTTAGGGTTTAGGGTTTAGGGTTCAGGGGATTACGGGAATAGGGTGTAAGGGTTTATAGGGCTTATGGCCTAGTTCTCGGTTCCCGTAAATGGCTCGCTTAAGGCACCCCCCCTAAACCCTAAACCCTAGCCCCTCCCCCACAGAGGCCTCCACTCAGGGTTGCTGAAGGGATCCGTTCTGCCTTCGGGCTTCGGTGTTTTGGGCTTCGGAGCTTTGGCTATAAGGTTTGGGGCTTAGGCTTGTGGGTTTAGGCTTTGGGGTCCCAGCCTTCTCGCTGGATCTGAAAAAAATGTGGCGTTTTTGATTACAGGCCAGAGGGAATGGAGCATGGAAGCCTGCAAACGCGATTTGCGAGCTGTAGAAGTTCGAAAACGCGTGTTTGGGGCAATCGGGGATTAGGGTGTTGGATTGAAACTAAGATGTCCCCCAAAAGCTCCATATATACTACTATTATGAGATTAGGTCCCTAGAACTATAGTAAGGATGGTCCTGCAGGGCCTCATTCCACAATTGACAATGGGAGTACACACGGACCCTCTGGGTTAGGATTTTGAGAGTTATAGGCCCGAGGACTTTGGGCTCCAGCTTCAGGAGGGGGTCTCGCGTTAAAAGGTAAGGATCTAGGATGTACGCTTGAGGGTTTTCCATGAAAGCCACGCTCGGATCTAGAAGAAGCTTTTAAGCTCCTTACCAAGCCTGGTCGAAGCATCGGAAGCTTAAAGGGGTTGGCGTTGAGGGTTTGGGGGTTGGGGTTTGGAGCTCTCTCTTCGGCCCTGAACCCTGAAACAGACGCAAGCCGACTTAGGGCTTAGGGCTTAGGGTTTAGGGTTTGTGTGCATTGTCAACGGGTGTATGAGGAGCTTCTGAACACATCTGTTGCCACCTGGCACCCTGAAACCGCCCCAAACCGAACCTCGAAACCGCACCCCAAGCCCTTAACCCACAAGCTTTGAGACCCTAAGCTTGGGTCTACCAGACACCGCTAGAAGACGGTTGCAGTAGACATTCGGGCCGACACAAGAGTTGCTTCCACAATTGCAGTAGCATCCCGGCCCCACATCAGAAGACTCAAAACAATCGTCGACGTAGGTGCTGAGTTCATAAGCACAAAAGAAGTGTACACTTTCAGTTCTATACGGGATCATGTTGTCCCAAAACGCTTAAAGTGTAGTAATTCAGCTACTATGCCGAGCCTTCTGGGGGAAGCAATGCTTGAAGACGCCTCTGCAGTTGGGGTTTGATCTGAGTCTAGGGTACACATCAACTCTTCAGTTTCTGCAAAAGGTCATGGGCACTTATGACTAGGTTTACACTGATGGCTGCAGCCGATGCTTTTTTGACACTCGGCCCTCATGTAGTGCAAGCAACTCATGCAGGGGCCTTATTGATTAGAAAAATTTGGGTTTGTGGGCTTTTTAGAGTGTATTTTATTCAGTAAATAGTCACCGCCCTAGATTAGACTCCTGCAACTGGGAACGAAAATCGGCCTCCGCTCCAGAACGTGATGTGGAGGGCCGCTTCAGACTTTGATCAAGAGTTGAAAGCTTTGATTGCTGATTCAAACCCTAAACCCTGGACCCTAAAACTTGATTTCCATCTTAGCAGAAGCGTTGATTTTGACTGATACTGGAACAATGCGAAACCCAGAGCTGACAAAAGATGGAAACTCAAGTGAGTAGGGGCTTAGGGGTTTAGGGTTTGGAGTTTAGGGTTTCGGGGTTTACACTTTAGGGTTTAGGGTTTAAGGCTAAGGTTTACCCTGATTGATGCCTTGAGGGCGAAGGGTACGTAAACCTCAGTCCTAAGGAGAACTCTATGATACAAAAGCCGGGGAGTCCCCCGCAGCATTGGATGCCTTGAAGAGCAGCGTGCATTCAATTAAAGTTGGCAGCTTCTCTCTGCGCACAATGCTGGTATAGGGGCCGCAACAAAAAGAATGGGGTTTTGAGGTGTCTTACACACTAGTTGTAGTAAGGAACCCTACAGTCACGAACAGTCACGAACAATGTTCGTATTTACATAGGCCTCTTCGAAGATGTCAAAGACTTCAAAGGCTCTAGACAACACAGAGAATTCAGACCCTTCAGCGGATTTGGCTTCGAAGTTTCCCTAAACCCTCAACCATGCTAAACCCCTCAACCCAACCATCCTAAACCCCAAACCCTGAACCCCTAAACCCAACCATCATAAACCCTCAACCCTAAACCCCTAAAACCCAACATCGAAGTTTCCTCTCTTGGAGCTTCCGGAGCCTGAGACCTTCCTCTCAACCCTCACACGAAATGTCCCGGGCGTAGCGTTGCTGAACACGATAAAGAAATGTAAGACGTTCCGGTCAGATGGGCTTTAGAGAGATTTTATTGGTTTGGCCTGAGCCCGACTTAACCCTGATTGTCGATACTTGTACATACACCTTGCACATAACCGCTGTAACCGTTCATATACGCTATATGCACTCTCTATGCGCCCGACATACTGTTGATGGTATAAGTCCTTAGATATAAGTCCTTAGCATGACCTTAAGGACCCTAAACTATGGGAATTATGGTATATTCCTTCTTATGGGTAATGCAGGATCTATCTCATCAAGCGTATACATCCCGAAGCTCACTCTTAAGCCGTACTAGCGGCTGGAAGCCCTTAAACCCCTACAGAAAGCGCAAAGCAACGAACCCCAAACCGTTTAAATCCAGCGCCAAACACCTGAAACCTCAACCCCGAAAGTTAAGCCGTTACACAGACCTTCCAAAGCCCCGTATTCAAGGAATATACCTTACGCTCTCGCAGAAAACCCTACTGATATGAATTCAAGTATACCCCTCACTTACGGGATTTTGGAAGGTCTGGCTATACCTCAAATCTTATCAGCGTTCCGGAGATAATCCAAGGTATATTCCGTAATTAGGGGGTTTGGGGGAGTCTCTGGGGAACCTTCAACGGAACCACGAAACCCTACGGTTTAGGGTGTACGGTGTATAGGGCTTGGGGTTTAGGGTTTGGAGTTTATGGTTTAGGGTTTGAATCGAGCCTTCGAAGAAAATTGGCGGCGCCATGTGTGCACTGCGGTACACTTGGCCGATGCTTGAGAGCTGCAGGCAGGGTGTAGGTGTCTCGGATGTAAAGCTCATTCGTTTAGGGCTTAGTTTCGGCTTAGGGATTCTATGGGTTTTGCGTAGGGGTTTATAAAGGGTTTACAAGTTGCGATAACGGGTTTTGCGGGGTGTTCTTCATCTTGGAATCGAGGATTCCCTGCTTTTATGAAAGATGGACATGAGTGCACTAGACCCTGAACCCTGCACCCCAAACCCTAAACAAAACGCTCCAAACCCTGAAGCCTGCAACCCAGACTGCCAACG